CAAAGTTGTTTTGCCTTGCATTTCTCTGATGGCCAAGGATTTTGAGCACTTTCTTAAGTGCCTTTTACAGAAACTTCTCAGTTTCAGGAGGTCCCATTTATTAATTTCAGATCTCAATGTCTGTGCTACTGGTGTAATGTTCAGGAAGCTGTCTCCTGTGCCAATTCATTCAAGGGTATCTCCCACTTTCTCTTCTAGAAGATTCAGTGTGGCTGGATTTATGTTCAGATCTTTCATCCATTTGCATGGTGACAGATATGGATCTATCTGCAATCTTCTGCATGTCCGAGTCTAGTTGTGCCAGCACCACTTGTTGAAGATGTTATCTTTCTTCCATTGTATAGATTTAGCATCTTAGTCAAAAATAAGTGTTCATAGGTGTGTGGGTTAATATCAGGATTTTCAATTCCATTGATCTATCTGTCTTTTTTTGTGCCAATACCAAGCTGTTTTCAGAACTATGGCTCTATAATAGAGCTTGAAGTCAGGGATGGTGATGCCTTCAGAAGATCCTTTATTGTACAGAGTTGTTTTGGCTATTCTGGGTTACTTGTTTTTCCATATAAAGTTGAGTATTGTTCTTTCAAAGTCTGTGAAGAATTGTGTTGGTATTTTGATGGGAATTGCATTGAATTTGTAGATTGCTTTTGGCAAGATTGCCATTTTTACTATGTTGATTCTACCTATCCAAGAGCATGGGAGTTCTTTCCATTCTCTGGTATCTTCTTTAATTGAAAGTCCTCAATTCTTACAAACATTTTCACCAACAAAACTAATATATATATAAATCATAAGTTCTTTTCAATAATTGTAATGAAAATAATGAGAAAAGAAAGCAGGAGTAAGCCACTTATACTTTCCTCAAAAAATATCTTGCAATAAATCTAAACAAGAAATTGAAAGGTTTTACAGTGCAAATTTCTAAATGGTGAAGAAAAAATAAAAGAATACACTAGAAGATGGAAAGATGTACATGATATACTCAGAAGAAAAGTTCTTATGAAACACATTGCCATTTATAATTAAGGCATACAATGAACATATTTTAAATTTTATAGGTTCACATATTGTGATAAATGTTAGGGAAAAATATTTGTGGTCTCACCATCCATGACAATGAATTTTGTGCTACCCAATAGCTTGCCTCAAACTAGGCGCTTTGTACATCTAGATTTAGTACAGATAAAACTGTTTGTCAGTTATTTACCATGGATTGATAAACAGATGAAAGAAAAGTGGCTTCCTTCAGGCACCAGCTACAGAATATCCACAATATTATTTATTCATACTTAATTTATTATTTATTCAAAATTCATTGTGATATCCAAAATATTACCCCATCAAAACTTTAGTAACTCTATGTCAATAACAAAAAAAGGTAGTGTGATTGATGCCTGTGACTCTCCCTTTCCATCTCCTACACACTTCTAATTTTTCTTTTATATTTGACTTACATATAACATTTTTAAAGACTCACCCATAAGCTTGTGACGTGGAATATTTGATCTGCCAATCGTTAGATCTTTGGAACTTCAGTGAAAAGAAGTAAATTCTGGTCAATGAGGAGGAAGCTGAAATAGAATGCCTGTGTTTTCTAGTACCACATGTAATGGCATTGCTTAGATGAAGCTCTTTTTTTTGCCACTTATGCAACAAGATAAACTATCAGTCCTGGTTACTACCTGTTGAGTGAGTTCTTAAAATGAAGAAAAATCTCTATAATGTCTTGTCTGTTTAGTATTTTAACAGACCCGCACGGTTGAATCCGCTGGATACAAAGGAGATAGTGGAGTCAATAGCCAATCTAGTCTCTACATTTTAAATTACGAGACAGTTGGATATGGCAAGGGAATGCATTAAAATTAGTCCTATTTGTTAATAGTGTCTACAGATGTCATTTCACAGAAATGACTTTTGTGCTTCTTTCAAGACATTCACAGGAATATTAATGTGAGTATAATAGACTTAAATTGAACTAAACTTGCATCTTCAAAATAGGAAAATAATTTAAAACCTTATAAAAGTAAAATATAAGCAACAGAATGGATAAATATAATAGTTGCTATGAATTGCATAAATGAACTCAGGAGTCTGTACTATATTTTATTACTTAAAACATATGATATTAAATGTTCTGTTGTGGTAGTGTGAAAACACTGCCTAGCCAATAGAAAAGGGAAATACTGCTACTCAAGATCCAAAGTAAGTTCAGGGCCACTCACAGTCACTTGAGTGATGTTTATGGCAGTAATTTCTTTTTTTCTTTTAATGATGTCCATTGCAGCATTATTTTTTATTAGAAAGAAGATTATTTTAAATGTTAATCCCAGGTCCCTCTCTCTCCCCTCCTCCCCTGCCCCCCCAACCAACACCCTACCTATCCCATACTCTTTCTGCTTCCCAGGGACGGTGAGGCCTTCCATAGTGGGAATTTAAAGTCTGTCATATCCTTTGGGATAGGGCCTAGACCCACCCCTTTGTGTTTAGGCTCAGGGAGTAACCCTCTATGAGGGATTGGCTCCCAAAGTCCATTCCTATGCTAGGGATAAGTACTACAAGGGGCCCCATAGGTTTCCAAGGTCTCCTCACTGACACCCACATTCAGATGCCAGGAAATAATCAAACTGGGGGGCAGAAATCAATAAAATCTTCACAAAGAAAACAATTCAAAAAATCAATATAACAAATAGTTGGTTCTTTGAGAAAATCAACAAAATGGACAAACTGTTATCAAAGTTAACCAAAAGGCAGAGAGAGATCGTGCAAATTAACAAAATCAGAAATGAAAAGGGGGACATAACAAGGGACACTGAAGAAATCCAGAGAATCTTCAGGTCATACTTTAAAACCTGTACTCCACAAAATTGGAAAATTTAAAGGAAATGGAGAATTTTTGAACCGTTATCACTTACTAAAATTGAATCAAGAACAGATAAGCAACTTAAACAGACCTATAAACCCTAATGAAATAGAAGCAGTCATCAAAAATCTCCCAACCAAAAAAGCCCAGGGCCAAGTGGATTCAGTGCAGGATTCTACCATAAATTCAAAGAAGTGCTAATACCAATACTCCTAAAATTGTTCCACAAAATAGAAGCAGAAGGGACATTGCCAAACTCTTTTTA